GCGAAAAAGTTGTCGAGCGGGGGGTATGTAGTAGGCATGGTAGTAGGCATGCGACGTACATCGTACGGGCGTACATAGTACCTATAACACAGAAAATTCATAAAACCCATGAAGTGAACCACGTAACTCCTAGCCAGAAATACGACCCCCCTCCCAACAACGACCAAATACGACCCCCCCCCCTCCAAAACGTCGGGGGGGGCCAAGAAGCGAGAAAAATCAACTATAAAAATAAATTTTTCCCAGCCCAAATACGACCCCCCCCTTTTGGCGGCCAAATACGACCCCCCCCCATAGGGAATCCCTGTCCCAACCAATGCTGGTGCCCGTGTCCGCAGTGAACTACACTATATATTCGTTTCTTGTTCGGAATACTTTTTCATTTGTACTCAGACCATGCTACCAAGCTGTCTAGCTGCCTGGCTGTCAGCTAGTTGCCGCGGGCTGACCTCTCACTGACATGATGAAGCATCAAACTAGGAAACGCGGAAAAGGCGACGTGTTGGTCTTCTCCAGAGGCCGAAGCCCACCGTGAATCCGTTATCGCATGCGGATACTATTAGGTAGCGGAAGCTAGCGTTAATGTTCAGGGATAGGAGAGCATGTGAGAGAAAAAACCTTCTAGAGGTTGTACTATCGTACAAAATTGTTAATCTCTCCTGGTTATTTGAATTATAGTAGCAAAAACTTGCGGTCTGTATTGGAGTTCGGGTTGATCTGGTAGTGTGCGCCGCGAAGGGAACAGCGCGTAGGGTTTCGCAAGGCAAGTAAAAGCTGAGGCAGGGTACCACCCAGTCGTTGGAGAGAATTTTTTGCAATAGTTGGAGAGAATTTTTTGCAATATACGACTATCCTACCCCTTTCCTATTCTACCTACCATCTTCTTAAGTTTTCCCGCCTCCTACCACTTTTCCCAGTTTTCCAGGAATTCGTCCAGTTTCTCCCCAAATAACTGCCATCGAACAGAGGTGGAAGGCGACGCAACTACAAAATCAACTATCGAAAATAGTAGTTGTGCAGGACATTGGCTACTTCGCCAACTAAGGGAGGAGGAGGGGTTTTATTTGGCTGGCATACAGCACATGTGAAACGGCCCCTCACCCACCTAATGGGAACATCTCAGCGATGTGGATAGCGCGCGTGAATCAGGAAAAATCAACAACTCGAAAAAATTTCTTTAGGCTGAATGGGACCTCTACCTCCAGCGACTAAATACGACTGGGGATTCAGCGTCGTACGAAGTGGCATGAGCCAGAGTAATGTGGATGAGGATCTCCCCTCCAGCCTATTCTGTTATTCATGTCGCTCTGCTTATGCAAAGGCTGTACTGTGCAGCTTTTGCAGTGTTGAAAGACCAGCAGAGAGCGATGTTTTGCCTACGTATTCGTTATCGTCTCGGCGCGCTTTCTTGTTCAGAGCAGTGCTGCTTGAGGCTGTCGTGCCCTTTAGGACTACGTTTGCGTCTTTATTTCTTGACCGAGATTTCTCTTCTAGTTCGTAGAGATCATCTCACATTGTACGTTGGGGATCCCAGTATGGGGTGGGGGTGTATTTGGTCGCTGGAGGGAGGAACTGTATGTGCCTCCGAAGAAAAATGTTCCGGTGGCTGATTTTCTTGGTTTTTGCCTGTTCCAGGTGCCCTCTATATTCCCCCATATCCCTTCCCCCTTGTTGCGATTATTTCCTTAATACAGTTTAATCGTACACAGCTGCAAGCTTTGTGTGACTCAGTGACAGTCACGTGACTGCGATATCTTCTTGTCAAAGTAGTTACCTGTTTATATCTACTTTCTAAAAGTGGACACCTAGTTATGTCTCAATAAAGTTAATTAAGTAAGCATAATGGAGCAACGAGTAGTAAATCAATCAAATGGGTCGTTTTGTCGATGTGGTTTAGTGGTTTTTGTGGAGCTTATCGCATTCTTGAAACGTGATTTTGCTGTAGAATTCGAAAGCGACAGTTTCATTGGGCGATTCGTGGGCCTTTCACTCTGTGGAAAGTAGTTACTCTTAGTACAAAGGTATTCTTGATATGATCGCGTGGGAATTTGGTTCTCTCCTTTATAGGGTTTTCTAACAAGGCAGTATGGACTAGCCTCAGAACAACCGACTGCACATCCCCTATCCTTCTTTTTTCCTCCTTTTCTTCCTTCGCCTGATCTTGGTTCCTTTCTCCCTTTCCCTTGTTCCTACTCCCTTCTTTTTCCTCTTTCAGTGGCTCAAGCGCGGCGAAAAATGGCACTAGAAGTCCGCAGTGGGAAATTCTTTTGCATAATGCAGTGCATAATCATCGTTGTGCGGACTGCTGGGGTTGTGTGTGTCAGCAAGTGTGTGGAGGGATCGTATCTGAGTCACGACGTATAATAGGGGGTCTGTCGAGACAGGGCATGGTTGTAACGGCTGGGATCCGTCGCGAAGAGGGTTGTTAATTAGGTCGGATGGAGGGAGGGGATGTGCTGATTTTGAAAAGAACAGTTTTGGTGTGTTGCCTTTTCTTTCTTCTTCCATGTCAGCGGGCCTACGCCCGCTAAGCTAACGTGAGCGGCGGTATGTGGCCAGTGAAATGGAGAACTCCCTATGGTATCTGTGGAGTTGTAGACCTTGAGAGGGGTGGGCCCGATGAAGGATGGAAAGCAGTCGTATCGGAGAAATTATGTCATGGGGGTGTGGTCGTAATCTCCCGCAAAGTGCCCCCCCCGCCTCCAAGCGACAGTCCTGCTCGAGTTCACAATTCAAGATAGAATGGAGAATAAGAGTATTTTACGGTTTTTGTGCTGTGAGACATATAGCTCCCTTATATACCCTCTCACTTCGCTTCTCTTCTGGAAAGTCACATAGAAAGGGATGGAGTGGGATAAGGACTTTAGCGAATTTGGGGTTGAAGAAGGTCTTAAAAGCAGGATGATGATGAGGAGTTAATGGCTTGTCTGACCCAATTTGCCGATGCTTGTTAAGCCCGAACTTCGAACGACGGTATGTGCTCTCCGAGTATCTATCTGCAATCCTTGGGAGAGGAACAAGGGCATATGTTGCACATCGTGCTCGACACCAATGGGTTTTTTTTTTGTTTTTTCTGGCATCTTGATCGAACTTTCTTGGTATTAAAATTTTTTTACAATGTTTGTACACTAATTTGTCCTACTAAAACATTACTTTTTTGTCCGTCCTGTCAGAAACCAGAAGCTTTTTCCAGAACTCTCCTTCTTGTGTTTTTTAGTCTTCGAGAACGTCCCCAATCTTTACCGATCACCGAGATAAATCAATATTTGGCACTATTTACCCTTTACTGCCCCAACCATCCAGAATTGAGCCAGTTTCTGACCGACTTTTTTCTCCGTGGACAGATTCGGCTTAAATGTTGTCACCTGAGGGTATTTTGACCTCCTGAATACGAATATGACATCCGCTTACAGAACTCGGGAATTCCAGGGCGAGCCGGCGCCGACAGACGCTCAAGTATTTGGGTATTTTGGCGCCGGCGCCTGTGGCGCGGGCGCCAGGAGGTTTCGTGCCGAGCGGATGTGATATTCGTGTTCAGGAGGTCAAACTACCCTAGGAACAAGTTTTCAGCGAATTTGGTGATTTAGGTATTTGGCGCCGGCGCCTGTGGCGCGGGCGCCAGGAGGTTTCGTGCCTAGCGGATGTGATATTCATGTTCAGGAGGTCAAACTACCCCAGGGAACAAATTTTCAGCCAATTCTGCCAACGCAGAAAAAAGTCGGTCAAAAACTGGCCTGTTTTCGGAAGATTGGGGCAGTAAAGGGTAAATAGTGCCCAACATTTTATTGTGCAATAATGTTTTGCTACATCATGACTGCGATAGTTTCAGCAATGCATGTCGGACAGAAGTTACGTACGGCGTTACGAGGTCCACCAGGGCGTCTTGTGTTCAAAGTGGGTGGCAGCGATGGCGAACGATTTCGGTTAGTGATTTAATTGTGACAAATGGTTGGCTTTAGAACGATCGCAAAAGTCTGGCAGAACCTCAGAATTACCATGTGTGAACAAGGCACGTATTACCGCTGGCGGAAAATTTTGCAACGTAAGCATCCCCGCAAAATTCCCACCTTTGGTACGACGCCCTTCCCCATCTCGGGTCCCCATACTACCTTTCACTTTCCTGAATTCTCCCAACTTCCTACCACCGTTCCTCTGCTGGAAACTTTCCAACTTTCTCAAGAAAAAGAAGCTACTATCAAGCGGAAATGAGCGTATATATAGCGCCAAGGAAAAATCGAGAAAACTCAGCAAGTGAGAACATTCTTCCTAAAGGCAAATACGACCTCCTTCCTCCAGCTACCAAGTACGATCCCTACCGCTTGGGATCCCCAACGTACGATGTGCCCTGTCTGTGAAGCTGTTGAGCTGGAGCGCTTTTGAGGCTGCTGAGATCGGAGAAGGCTTGCAGGCTTGGTCGTCTCCGCCCTTTTGGAACATATTGATCTTTTCATTCAACAAACTCAAAGAAAGAGGAAGACCAGGCTGACGCGGCCTAGTCTCATCGTATACCTATCCCCTGTAACTCCAGTATCCCCTTCCACTTGCAAAAATCTGTAAAAAGGAAATGACTTGACTTCGTGGCGCCGCCATCGCCCCTCAACTGCTGTAGCGGCCGTTGTATCGCTAGTTTGCATTTTGCGTCGAATTTTACTGGTTACTTTCCGTTTAAGCTTAAGCGGCGTTGATAGTTCTGATTTCAGACTTACTCGCCGTTTTGAAGGACATCGCGATGGCGTTTGGCACGTAACGGCTGACGCCACACGCAGTATTTGTGCCAGTGCGAGCGCTGGTAAGGTATTATATGAAGTTCGGTAACAGTCAACCTCATACCCCGGATCCCTACTGAATCTGTACCAACTGTAGCCCTCCTCACCCTAACCTAGCCACTCCTTTAACAACTGCGAAATGAGTCATTCCAGATCAACGGCTCGAATATGGTCACTCAACTCTGGTGCCTGCTTGTATGCCTACACGGGTCATTCTGGCTCCGTGAACTGCGTAGCATTCGCTCCTTTGCCGGAGTCGCAGTCAGGTGGCGAACTAACCATAGCGACAGCAAGTGGAGACGAGTCAGCGCACATTTGGAAGGTGACCATTGGACAGCACGCAGTGTTGAGTTCCGATGACGATGAAGACGAGAAGGCACCCGTCGATAGTGCAGGAGGTGAAGGTGATACCGCGCCTCCATCAAGCACCGAAGGAGCACGGGTAAAGAACGCACTGATGCGGCTTACAGGCCACACCGGCGTGGTGATTGGTTGCGATTGGCTAGAAGGTAAGCGTGCCTTATACATACTCTTTGGGCGAAGTTCGGCTTGGGGGAGGCATTTTGCACTTTCGCTGCTTCCCTCGTCGTGTTCCATTGTTTTACATGAGTTGGCTGGTAAGGTAATCAACTGGTATCACATGACTTCACAAAGTTTCACAGATCTCTACTTGATGGCTTGTCACGACGATGGAAACTAGCGAAAAGCACTATGCTCCCCCTCCCACCCTAGCCGAATTGCACCTGCTTTTGTTATGGTTCTTTCCAACGAATTCTTTAGTGGTAGTATCATCAAAAGGTACGGTAATTGTCCTTTTCTCTTTAGGTGGAAGTCAGCTGATCACAGCGAGTTGGGATCGTACAGCGAACATATACGATGTGGAACGAGGCGAGGTACTGAACATATTGAGCGGGCATGAGATGGAACTCAATCATTGCTCAGCACATCCGAATCAGAAGCTTGTGGTCACATCGTCGAAAGATTCCACGTTCCGGCTTTGGGACTTCCGCGAGACTATACAGTCTGTAGCCGTGTTTCAGGGACATCAAGAGTAAGTAACTTAAGGATGGTGAAAACTATGGTTAAGAGGCGGCGTATCAGTTCAGGCGTCATTGATGGG